TATGTGTAAGAAAAACATTGACAGAAAGGTGCAACAGTCTTGTTTCCAGGAGGAGTAGCAGTGATATTAAAAAGCTGTTAACATTAAAAAGCGTGAATGAGTTGGACATATGTTTCTGTTCCTGAAAACACTGTGATGTGAGTTTTATCCTGTTGATTCCACAGTTTAGACAGAGAATGTGCATAAAAACAAGATGCAAATGAAAGTAAATCAACGTGTTTTCCTATCTTTGCACAGACAGGTGTGATACATGAGGGTTGTAAAGAGAGAACAAACCAACCAGTAAAACGGTCGGACGGAAGAGGTGGTGATGTGTTTGATGTAAAAACTAAATGTAAGTTAAAAATCACATGATCAAAACAAGAAGGGGATGAATTTATTTTAACAAGAAATCACAAAATAATTACACAGAATTCAGAGGATGTAGAGCATCAGTAAAATTAATAGAGGGGAGATGAAACTAATTAAAAGTGTACCAGATAAAGACACACACACACACACACAAGCAATCAATTTCCTAAAAGCTTGTCTTCAACACAAAATTACGATTGTGGCTCGTTCCAACATCTTCACATGTATTTGTGATGATAATGTCAACAATTGGTGCCCGTTAAATTTTATCAATTTAAAATCTTAATCAATCAATATGCAAATGAGAATCCGATACAGGCTACATGCAAATTAATTAAAGTTGTTGACAAAATCGAATTAGACAGAAAAAGTTTTTATAGACAGTCGATTAATCATATTGTCAAATTAAAAACCTTAATTATATCAATGATGAAATATCTTTAATTTAACATTCACATTTTAAAGTGGTCCTGCCAGCCTCTAACAAATGTGGCCTCATAAGAAATCCCTCTTACGACATTAATTCCACAGCTCCCTCGTTGCACTTTACGCGTGTGCAATATTTCAGGTCGATATTTCTGCTTGCATTGGATTTTATAAATTAAATCCTTCATGTACTGTATATATAATTAGCTCTAATCCATTTGAATACTTGAGCACTTTGAAATACCTCCAGTCTCCTGATCATAAGATGAGAGCAGGTCGGATGTGTTGCCATAGTGATAAAGTGAGCAACTCCGACATTTATTCAAAGCCCAGTGATCGTGCTGAAGAAGATGAGACTCACTGTAAGGACACCCGTAGGTCTCCAGCCGCAGGCCGATCCGCCCGCTGAGGTTCCAGTCCAGAGGGATGAGGCGGAGGAAGCGAGCGACCGCCGGCTGCTGCAGTTTATACTGAACCACACTGTCGGCATTACTGTTTCCTGGAAAAGACTGAAAACACACGAACGAGGAGGACGTTTGAACTGAGCACGTTTATTTGACAGCTTTACAAATCATTTCTGACAGTCAACAGCCAAGCTAGTGGCTCTGTGAGGCTCGAACCTCCTTCAACATTCTCACAATCCCAACCAATGCCGCGTCACTATTCGCGTTTGCTCCGTACGCAAACAACAAGCTCGATTAAACTACAAAGTGCTTTGTAAGTGATGGAGACACCGCTGAGATGTGTGGACCAGGAGGTGGGACGTGACCCTGTCGTCCATTTGACGGAGTTCTTCATTGATGAGGTCATGAGTCAGTGAGGATTGTTTTCGACATGAAGCAGCCACATGACAGACTGTCGTTGCGTGGCTATAAATGCCTGATCATTTTGTTTGCTGTCGTACTGGACGAGCAATAAACAGCCTGTTTACAAATCTGCAGATTGATCATAAAAGCGGTGGTGACTGTGTCTCTGACTGGGCTGATTGCCTGATGGATCGTTCTCTCTCCATCTCTCCCATCTGGCCATCTACCCTAATTACACCCCCCCCCTCTTGAAGTCGACACGCAGGTTAACTGGCTCTCCCACAGCTGAATACAAGCTTAGACGAATAATTAACTTGTTCATTCCTCTGGAATCATGAGAGAGTGGAGCTGGAGAGCGACGCTGGGTTGTGTCACCTTTAATAATTGTGTGTGAGTGTGTCTCTTCGTGTTAAAAGCTTTTGTCATTCTCACAGTGAAAAGGGGCTGAGCTAGTCTAATGAGAGATGCAGACACAGCGAAATGTTAAGATCTTAAAAGCAGCAAATTGTTTGGACTCTGTGATATGACTTTAGATTCTGGGTGTTCTGTTCACAACTGTTACATTAAAAGCTCTTCTCAGGCTTCTCAAAGTTTTAGAGAAACCTCCCCTCTCTGGCCTTCAGCTCAGGGAGGTGAAAGGTTGACGTGTTGTGGTGGATCCTGCAGCTCCGCCATTAGCTTCTCCTCTGACAGCTCCTCTAAGCCCGGGGCCGACTAATTCACAGAAGTTCAGAAACACTTTGAAATGTGAGTGGGATCGTTGCGCGGTTTATGTCGAGTGTCAGATCAACATGTTTCTTTAAGCTGCGAGAAGCCGCTCTCTGCTTCTCTCGGAGAAGAACCTCAGTGCTGAGATTAACCGGATTCTCTCCATATGAGGAAATTTCCTCCGTTTGCCGTCTGATCAAAAGCTCCTCTCTGAACCATAAGCCACGTGTGTCCACGTTGGTTGCATGACTCGCTGTGGTGCAGGATTTGCAGGTTAGAAACTCAATCTACATATTTTGGACGTGTGCTCGCCAGTTTTCCTCCGTGACAACAACAAAAAACTTTGAATACCACACACACAAACACACACTGTACACACTATTGACTTCAGCATCCAGCACCGCTCCAGACTGCACCGCTCGCATTGTCTGGGCCAGAAAAGTGCCGCTCGGCTGCATCGCCGTGCCGCTCTGTGTCCATCAACAGCAGCTTAAGTGTTTTGGCAACAGGTCTACCCAGTCAGCAGAGCTCATCCATTATTAATGAGGTGTCAGAGGCTCCTTATGACTGTGATTATCTCGGCAGGACAGACTGATCCCTGCAGGCCGCAGCTTCAACCACCATGTGCACCGTAAACACGAGTGTAATAGTCCAGGAAAATGAGCTGTAATGAACATGAGTGCTGTTCGTTTTTAAATTTATCTCCCGATAAGATGCTGTTGTTCTATTTGTGTTTAATAGTTATGAAACGCAATTTTCTTTAGTTTGGCTCTGTCTTTATCTGCCCTGTTAAACTCCACCGTTATGACAGAAACGATCCTTAAAAATGAGTCATGCTTTTTAATCTCTTCCTGCAAGTGGAAAGTTTCAACAGACACCGAGCATTGAAGTGTGTTTTTGAGCTGTAAACTAAATGAGTGTTCTTAGATGTGATACATTAACAATGAGTTAGATTTTAATATCACATTTATTGCAAAATGTATAAAAAGTCGATATAGTTTCAAATTGTCTTGGACGTTGCAGGACCAATGTTTACGTAGAGTCAATCGATGGAGACAACCCCCATATATATATATATATATATATATATATATATATATATATATATATATATATATATATATATATAAATACTTCTACCAGAAGCAGGTGAGAATATAAGAATATAGTTGAAGGTAAATAACTGTCATATATATTCTTTTAAGTCTCGTTTCCTGAGCACATCTGAAATTGTTTGTGCCGGGTTAAAAATATTTGAGATTGAATTCTCCCACCTTGTCACTTTATCTTTTTATTTGTCATTATTCATTTATAAATGGATGCACCTCTTTTTTTTTTTGAATGGCACTGTTAATGTGTCAGGCCTCTGGAACAAATATGTGATTTACTGCTTTATAGAGGAACTCGATCTGACGTCTCTGTTTGTTGAACAACTCCTTCATTAGACTGTGTTCACACGGACGACAGGACTAAGTGAAGAAGAATGAATTTAAACAGGAAGCACATTCATCCATGTCGAGGAAACAACTGCTTTAGCTCATCAGGCCACGCAAACAAAAACTAGCTTCATCGGCAGAAAGTCGATATTTTAGTTTTGTCACTAGAATTAACGGATTTGTTGGTTTTTTTCCATTTTGGGGATGGTGTGCACTCCGGCGAGGACTCACCCCGAGGCTGTCCTCCTGTCTGTACTGCTTCCAGTTGTGTCCCGTGTCGCTGAACATCAGCAGGTACGACGACAGCCAATCAGAGCTGCCGTATCGGCCCTGGGTGGCGACGGCGGTGATCCTGGTTCGCTCACCCAGGTCGACCTCCAGCCACTGATACCTGTCTGAGGTGAGAGGAGACCAGCCTCCAGCTCCTGCAGAGAGAGAGGACATTACAGAACGAGTTGATTTATTATATTTCATTCACCGTGTGTGTGTGTGTGTGTGTGTGTTTACCTGTCCACTGAATAGCTCGACCTTTAAATCTTTAGTGACGTCACATGTTTTTGCAATAAAGTCCATTTTTTGACTCACACACACAAGAGTTCAAGAACAATTTCAGTTTTCCACAGCTCGAACCAGACGATTGACTTTGTTCCAGGACGCCACAGGAGTTTTTTTTAAAGTAGAAAACTGAATTGAAAGAACCCGAGCAGTCAGACGGCTGCTGTGCGTTACGCAGAATGTTCCCTAATAGCAGTTTTAGACACAGTAGCTTCATGTTGGCACGAGTTCATTCGTCTTCACAGATGAAAAGAGAGACGCTGAAAAGAAAGCAAACCTCTGCCAAGTCTCCACGATTTCCAATTTACAAACCTGCAGCCTCCGCAGCTTTTCATACATGTTTGTCGTTTGTCTTTAGAGTCTGTTCCCCTCTGAGAGAATGTTGTTTTGTTCAGCGGACATTCTGGACAAAACAGTTTCTCACCTTCTCAGTCACTTTCTCTTAGCTCACAAATGTACCGTCTATACCAGACGTCTCACTCTGAAGTCTTATGACACCCAGGTTGAAAATTATAGGAATTATTGTTCTGAATACTTCTACAGGGAACTCAGTGCTTTCTTTGCCCTTTTTGATATTTTCATCGTATGATTTCGATCACTGCAACACTTTCTGCACTCAGATCCTGACAAACTCATTCCTGAACAATCCTCTTTGGCCTCGGTGCTGAAGTCTTGTATAAAATGTACTCACGGCATTATTGTGTTGCCCCGTATTACATTTCCCACATCATCGATAAGAGAGATTGCAGAACAATGCATTGATTAGTCGCAGAGAATGCCAAGACCATTTTCATCCTTAAATATAGCATTGCTGTGCGGCTATTGATTGCTTTTACAATTTGCTTGCAAGTCTGAGCCCTTTGCTATATAAAATATAATCAATAGGAGATTGTGGTGCCACACATTGATTTGTTTTACAGCTCCCCAGCAGGTTCCTCTCCCATGTTGCACATCGACATTAAAGAGCAGGGTTGTAACACATCGACCGGTTGAATTTAGAGTCAGTAGGTCGAGAAAATAAAAGGTTCGCCAGAAATATGTTTAAATTAAAGTGCAGTTCGTAGCATTTCCTGTGTAAAGTACTGTTTGGTGTTGTATCACCTAGTTGCACATATGAGCAGAAATATCCACAAAATACGGAATAACCAGTCTATTGAAGATAATCAGTTGGACTCCAGCTTTTATTGTAAGTTCTCAACAACAATTCACTTTGAACTAAACCAACGAGTTTTTCTGGCGAGTTTCTGACAGCACGAATAATCACTTCACCTGGTTTACAGCTAGCTATGCTTTCTCTGTGTGTGTGTTTGTGTGTGTGTGTGTGTGTGTGCGTGTGGGAAAGTGCTTTGTCAGGCCCAACAGCAGATGGATGTTACTGAAGAAGGTGGCTGCTCACCAACATCCCACTGAGCGGACAGACACAAAGAGACACTGAAAGTCGATAAGCTCCCGTGAAGCCTTCCAAACAAACAGACAAACGGTGTAAATACTCGTCTGTGTGTGTTTCTGTGCAGCTGAAATCTCACGAGCATGAAACCACATTTTTAAACAAGCAGATTTTATCCTCGGCCTCCACGCGCGGAGCTGGGTTGTTTGGATTTCGGTGCATCTTCACACAAATCCGTCGCAGAACGTGAGCTGTCAGATGTTGTGGTGTCACTCGTGTGGTTCAGCGGTTCGAACAAACAGCTCACAGCTGCGACGAAGCAGTGATCCCTGGGAGGTGAAGGAGCTTTTTATTCTTCTGTGTGAACGTAGAAGAAAGTTTCACCTTCCAACTATTCTTCTCACGCCTTGTTTTACTCTAAACTTTTATCCCAAAGACCTCACATGGGGAAATCTTGAAAACCTGAAGGGAGCAAGTATCGTTGAGAATATCGTTGCTTCAGACCGAAGGACCAAAAGACGATGCAAATAAATAATAATATATATGTTGAGGCAAATCTCCACACGCCTGACTTTTCACATTAATGTGCAATTTAACTAATAATTAAGGACTTAAGGATCATAAATATGCACGTCAGCAAAAGGAAGATAGGCGGTGCACCCACTGAAAAATCAACCTTGGTTGCTCACTGAAATTTCACTGAATCTTTGAATCGACTAATATAATAATATATTAATAATAATGTGCAAATTAATCTGCATCCAGTGTGCAGATGCTTTCAAGATGTCAATTCGAACACACAATATTTTCTTCATGTGACAGCAGCTCCTGTTTTCCCACGTTTCCTTTGTAACGTGTCTGAAGAAAAATGCAAACAGATGAATAAAAAAAGTTTCACGTTTCAGGGTAAAATATAGTTTCGCTGCTGAAATCGAGCAACATAAGGTCAGCGATGTTGTACGAGCACCTGTAGTAATCGTCCTTCAGATCAATACTTGGTTTGACATTAAATCTCTCTTCGCTCTTCATCTGTGTTCAAGTAAAGGTTGTTTCCTTTCATCCTGAGTGGAGGGAGTACAACTGGAAAATGAAGGGTTCTCAGTTTTGTCCTTTATTTCGTTATCAGTCAAAACGGAGCGTGAACACCGAGCGTCGGCAGGTCGAGGAGAAACGCTCGCTGTCGGTCAGGTGGCTGGCGGAGCCTGATCTTTCAAGAGCCAAAGGCCAAAGCTAATAAGCACTTGACTAACAGACGTGTCCGGTGACGGCTGAGAGGACGAGGGCCGACACTCTGACCTTTTACTCATGAAGATGAGGCTGTGGAGGAAAAGAGATGAGAGAGAACTCAGAGGCTGAGAGATGTTGCAACGATTTCCTGCGTCCGCCGTGGTGCGTATAATTGAAACAGAGGGTGAACCTGTGGCTGACGTTCTAAACACTTTCTGTCACGGCCGTCACTTTAAATCAAAGATATCGCCACGGTTTCTCTCCCACTCGCTCCGGCGTCGATCAACAAACCAACTGTCACCAGCCGCTGAAAGAGGTAATTACAGTTAATGATGGCGGGGAGTGTGACATCACAGCTCTGACAGCCAATTACAAGGCCAAGCTCTGCCTCAGGGTTGACCAATCCAGAGACAGGGAGACAGTTGCCAGTGGCAACGTATAGGTCATTACCCAGCTGTAAAATGAAGCAGCTTTCATTTGCTTCTCATTTGTGAATTTCATCTTTCAGGCTATACATCCAATTTCACTCGACTCATTACGACAAGCTGCCGTGTGTGACTGGAAGACTGATCCGTCAGCCGTTACGATTACTGTGAGCTATGTGTGAGCATTTCATGTCACAGCTGAACTTCGAATATATATTTTTTTACACTTCATCAGCCGCTCAGATCTATAGATGTGTGTTGGAGGCTGTTGTCACATGCTCCATCTCCTCTTCTCCTCCACCCACACCTCTCTCCACTCCCCCCCGCTCCTGGCCTGACTCCTCTGTGATTAAGAAATCGATCGAGGTTCGTCATCGCTGGACGTCCTCGTCCTGTAAACGTTTCTCAGAGGAGAGGAGGTGAATTCACAGGTGAAATCTACGGGTAAGCTTTTCACCAACACGCCTCTGATTGGATTATTGATTAGTGATTAGTCGGATCGACCGACGGGGTCAATCAAAGCTGCAGCCGACAACACAACATTTTCTGACTTGTGGCGCTGCAGCCAAATTAACTGAGAGCTCTTCCATTAATCATGTCATTCTCCACCTGTCCACCAGATGCCCTCAGTCTTCTCTTCCTTCGCCCCCTCACCTGATCGACACCTGTCCGTCAGTCCAGAGTTTAACTCCGCCTGTTCCTTGTTTTACCCATCAAGCCTCAGTTTATAAACCCTCACTGCTCATGTCTGGCCTTGTTTTTATGTTGTTGTCTGCCTGTTTGACATGTCTGGTTTTGTTATTCTCTTCATGCCTAAAAAATACGAGTTAAATCAAAAAAGAAAAAACTGACTGGTTAACCTGGGCAGCTCGTGTTTTCTCCAACTTCAAACAATTTGAGAAGAAGATCGAGGATGAATAAAACCCGTACGTTTCCATAGAAACTCAACTATCCTCCGTTCAGTGACAGACGTGTTTTTCAACATAGTAAAGTCATTTCAGTTGCAGCAACTTGCGACTGTCACAAACTAAATGAAAAAATATAAACAAACCAATTATTTCTTTTAAATCTAAATCGAGCGCTGAACCACAACTGAGTTCTTCGGGCACCTTGACACAGACAAACAAAACCTCCTCTAACACCAACACACTCTGAAGTGAAATATCTGGTTCTCTGTGACGCTGGAGAAAGACGACTGCAGCCAGTGTGCCGCTCATTCAACTTCCATAAGCTTTATAGACTCTAACAGGCCTGATACTTTATGCTCAGCTCATCAAATATACACTGATTAAAACATCCCTCTCGGTTGTTGGCAATTCATTCATTCATTAATTGCAGCCTTCCAATTTATGTCTGTCTCGATTTTTCCGTATAATTAAATAGCATGTATCTCCAGGGCAATTTGAATAAATTATTTAAAATATTGGCAACGTGTGGATCATTAAATGCATATACACAAATATGAAAACAGAATAATCGATGCAGAACTAATTTGCAATTTCAAGTTGACATTAAATTCTTTATTCAGGTTCTGTATATTTGGTTGTGTTTTTGTTCATTTCTTTTTATTGTTTTTTATGATAAAGTTTGATTATGGTCAAACAGTGAAATATCAAGGCTCATTTACATTTCTGAATTTATATTGGCAGACATATTGATCTGACAATCCATGTTGATCAAGCTCTAATAAGTATAAGGCAAGAAACAAAGCAAGAAACTAAGTATAAACTATATTGAGGAGTGTTGAACCTCTTGTTTCATCTGTGATACTTCGGTGATCCACTTCAGCTCTGACACCTGAAACCAACTCAATTTGTCTCCGTCTTGTTATTAGAGGAGCAGTGTGTGTGTGTGTGTGTGTGTGTGTGTGTGGCAGGTGAAGAGGAAAGTCGCTCAGGCTGCACAGCACATCTGTTCTTCTGCTCCACTGTTCAGGCTTGACATGAGGCCGCTGTGGACTGCGGCTTCACCATAAGGAGCCGACTGATGGATGGATAAATAAAGAAAGGACTTCTGAATCATTAATAATGCACCGATATTCCACCTGACACAAGCACAGAGGACTGACAGGAACATGCAGAGAGTCTTGAGTGAAGCAGAAAGGAAAAGGCCCCGACAGGCGGAGGAAGAGGTGAGCTGTTAGTGAGAGACGGGCGGGAGAGTGAACAGGCATCGTTACAGACAGACGAGTGGCTGGAAGGAAAAGAAGGGAGACGAGGCCCCGAGTGACAAAAGCAGGACTGGATGGAAATTTCAGCAGAATGAAAACGGGTCAGACGGACAGAGGAACGTCTCCTGAAGCCAACGTACAACACATCTCCTCTCAAGGTGTAAAAGTAATACTTGACAAATAAACCAGAGCAGGGTCCAATTAAAGTTTATTCCTCTTTTAAATCCAATTCATTTATAAAGTGATTACTGTGGCACAATTAAGTCTATTCCAACCGTAATTGTTGCAACATCACTGATAATTGTCAGTGTTGCCTGAGGGGGGAGAAAAACACATTTAAAAAAAAAAAAAAGACCGCTATTAGCACGAAGCGGAGGTGACCCAATTAGTTTCTACTGATGGAAATGTGATGTGGAGATATTGAAAATGATTATACGAGAAAATGAAAGACAGTGAAAAGGTGAAATCCAAATAAAAAAACGATTCATTCATTCTGCAGGCAGAGGAAGTGGGAAGTCAGGAAGTACAAATATATGAAAGTAGATTTTTCAGGCATCTGTACTTTCAGATTTCATGTCTATTATGTCGTCCATCTTTATTTACAGTCTGTGGAACACAACGAATTGTCAATTACTGCAATTTAGTCATTTCTCACGATGCGCTCGACCAATATAAACTGCATATGTAATATTATAGGACAATATTGGAATAGTTGAACCATGAACAACGTGATTACATTTTGATTTCTGTCCAGTATCATGATAGAGCATCAAGCTCTGATATAAAATACCAGCATTTATCAAGTAGAGCCGGTATTTCAGGGCCTCGTTTACCGAGTAAATGAACTGAAAGCAAAAAGTGCTCCTCTGAGAACAACCGGAGGAGGCCGAGTGTTCGCGGCAGCAGGAGATGGAAATGAGACGGAGACATTTATTTATTCATCGATTTCCTCCACAAACAGCTGGGATCGTTGTCGCGGTCAGAACAGCTGGCGGAGAAACGTGGCACAAACGGCTCCTCCAATCTGTCGACGGCCAGAGCTGGACTGGAGAAAACGCTGGAGTGAGACGACAGCTGAACACACGATGAGCGTCTGTTGATTTCATCACACTCCCACTGCTAATTACTGCATTTTCTCATCTTGATAAGACGTTTTTTCGTTGAAGGGAAGCCAGGTGAGTCCGAGCGCAAGCCGTCGGAGGCATCTACATCCAGTTTACAGGCTGAAATAAGAGGCGATTACATGAATAGATGTGTATTGGGTTGAATTGTATGCAGCATTAATTGATCAGCTGAGCCGTGTTCTGCCTCCAGCTTCTTTTTAGTTTCCCAGGTGGTGAAAATCTTTTTCCCGTCTCCGGCTCCCCAGCTGAGTCTGGGCTCAGATGTCAGGATGAACCAGCCGAGCTTGTTCCAACCATGATCTTCATTTTGTCAAAGCCTCACGTCAAGATCCAGCGCAGGACTCCCTGCTGGGGTTTCTTGCTGGATGAGCAAACAAACCACTCACAGTTATCCTTCTGGCGTGAAACCTCCAACACACTGAGACGATGAAGCTACGGCGTGTTCTGTCTCTCAGATTTGTCTCGTCTCTTGGAAAACTATTCTGATCCTCTGTCTCCCTCCAAAACACCAGCGAGTTACCTGGAAGTCTTTGTGAAAACTTCCCTTATTCAGAGTGTTTTGTTGTTTGAAAATCTTCACGTACGGAAATGTACTGTGCATTGAGTCAAATCTCCTCTCTCTCTCCACATTTAGTTGTTTTTTGCGGATCCGTCCTAATGGCAACATTGAGCCATATTGACGAGTCCAGGCTAAAAACTATTCCACAGAACAAATGGTGCAATGAAAGAATATTCTAAATATATTAAATGCATAAATTTAAAAAGTTTTTTGGTGGCGTCACAAAACTGCAGCGTTGCCAGTTTTTGCATTTTTAATCTGTTAATTTTTAACTCTGCTGCAGATCACACTCTCTCTCTCTGTCTCTCTCTCCCTCATTCTAGTCTCCAACCAAACCTCTAAAATTATGAGGCTCGTGGCCTGAGACCTCATTAATTGGTTTCCAATAACGGTGTCACTTCAGTCTCCGTCTGATCACAGCAATAAGCAGTTCTCAGGGGCCCCCTTTCCAGCTCAGGGCCCCGACACTGGCCCCCACACTGATGCACCGCCCCTGCCTGTGTCTACACTCGTCGGCCATTGAGTAAAAACACATTCAGTCACAGTCAGCAGCAGAAGTTCTTCCTCACCTTCTCTCCTGTTGAGTTTGGCGAAGCCGGCCGCGTGGCTGCTGGACAGCTGGGAGGAGCTTCTGAAAGACGATGGCGGCAGATTGGACACCAGAGGGCTGTCGCAGGCTTCTGTCGACCAATCACAAAGCAGAGGAAAACATACACAGTTAAGACTTGACAGGTTGAAGTGACACTGAGGTGTCAGGAATTAAAGACAGGTTTCTTTATGTCTTTAGTTATAAAAACTGATTCAAAACAGTGAAGGAGAAACTAAAGCATGTGGGCGTGATGTCTTTGCTCCATTAAAGTCGATATTTTTGCAAAATTAATTCCAAGCTCTCAGAAATATGGAATATTTCCCTTCTCATAGTTACTAATTATTCATTAAACCTGTCAGGAGTCATCCAGAAAGGACCATTCATAATTCATATTTCCCTTTCAATCCCACAGGAGCTGAAGATAAATATTGAGATGAGGATTATATAAAATACACGATTTCAGACCAAAAAATCCAACATCGTCCAACATAGAAACAGAAATTGTCTGAGGAGTCAACATATAATCAAACACACACTGCAGCACTTTCAGCACAAAGCAGAAGACCAAAGTTTGTTTGGGAAGATCACATGTGTTATTTTAGCCTGGATCGAGTGGTCGAGAGTTGTATCATCGAACTGCAGATAAGATAAAACAAGCGTTTGACTTCACGACCCTCAGCTGTAGGAAGTTCTCCGCAGCAGGTTGATGCAGAAACGTCTCCGCTCTCTTAGAAAATCATAAAAGCAAATGGAAGGAAGCGTCCGACCTCTTCTGCGGAGACGAGTGGTTCAGAGAGCAGAGAGACAACAGTGAGAAACACACTGACGACATCAGACGCAGCAGGAGATGGATTATTCTGCGTCTCTTCTACCCTGAGTGAAAAACTGCTGAATTGTTGAAAAACTAAATTATCTGATCTCTTCAGGACGGACACTGAGAATCACTTTCAACCTGAGAGATGCAGAGTTTATCCAAAGGATTTTGTTTAGGCCAAGTGGGAGTTTTAACATCCCCCTTCCTTAAACTCCTAAATCTGTGATGGAGGTTTCACATGAAAACTGCTGCATCGTTATTCCTTTCAGGTCTTTGACCATTAAAACACAAGTGTCAGAGCGGAGCCTCGTCATTGAGAAGAAGGTTTAATGTCCCCCAGGTGGAAACAGGTCTTTGAGCTGTAACGGCACCGTATTAAATAAATGAACAGTGTAATAATGTCCAGTTTGATGAATGAACAGTGTAATTCTGTCTGGATGGATAAATGGAAGTTGTAATCCTGCAGTGTTGTGGAGATGAATGGTGTTTTGACTGGTTCATGCAGGCTGGATGCTGACGGATCAGAGGAAACCTTCACGTGTTAACACACTTTAATGGTTTATGAATGATCGACTGCAATAAAAGCATCATATATTACACATGCTGCAATAATTAACAGTAATGGAGCTGGATTTAATCGGCTTCTCCTCCACGTTCTCCCATAAACATGAACATAAAACATGAGTTATTACAAGACTCTTCACTCTCTCTGCAGATATTTCACTTGTTTGTTAAATTTTCATCCCACTGAGAAAAGAGAACTGACTGTTTGTTCAGTGAGATGCTCTGTGGTCGGCACAGTGTAATTCTATCTCACACAGAGACACACACACACAGATTCATGAACATCAGCTCAGTAAATATTCATCATTTTCCTCTCCAGCTCCAAACTTTAAAGTCAAACTAACGCTGCCTCCGTCTGAAGCCTCTCTGTTAATGGATGTTGTTCTCCGCCATCGAGACAAGAGACAATTACCGTGATTCACGTCCCGGTCCGATCCAGACCCACAGCTCTGACAACGAGGCTCAGGCTTCAATTACTCTGTCAACATTAATGTTCTTCATCTCAACAACGCGAGGTCTTCATCTGCCTCTTCAGATCCACCACAGCCCCGGGATTTGAAACTTTTTAAAACAAACAAAAAAATAATGTGGATGGGGTCAGAGAAAAATCATAGTTTGGGGTAAATTACTACAATCCACTGTATCAGCAGTCGTATAAAACTATAGATATTTATTTTATTTCACTTCATGTGATTTGAGGAGCAGGAGGCCTCCAGTTCTTTGCTCCCTCCTGGTAATATTTATCCCTGCAGGCCTTGGGCTGACAGACACTTGCTTCTGTGGATGCTGAGTGAGCCCTCGGCATGAAAAGCAGGTGAATTACAGTTGTCTGAAGAGGAGGAACGAGAGGCACGGCTCTCCAGTGCAGAGTGCTGTAATTCCCCTGAGGTGATAATGAGCGGTGAGAGCGCAACCTCGCCGCGGTAACACTCGACACAGAGCGAGAGATAGAGGGAGCGGCGTAGTTTAGAAAAACGCTCTTCCTCAGCAGGGGGGGGTTTGGTATTTAAGAGTGGACATCGCTGACAGTGTGACCAGTGGAGCACAAACAGACGGCTCCAAGCAAAATGGAGCTAAATGTTGAAATACCTGCCGGACTCTGCAGCCACTGAACCTCAGTACTGACCGTGACTGTGTGGGACCTCTCCTGAATAAAGATTTTATGAAAGACACATCATTAATGAGTTTCATCAGGACAAATCTCAAATGTTACAGATTGTGCAGTAACGGATATTTGGTGATTACCCCCCGAAAATTTGGTTTGTCATTTAAGTTTTCAAAACATTAAATTCATTTTTCAAGAGGTGAAGGATCATCCTCACCGCTCGATGCCATTTTATCTCCCGGTGTGAAAAAGTTATTGGATTCAATGTACAAGGTTTCTGTGCATGGTGATGTTTAGAAAACCTAAAGGCCTAAAGAATCCAAAAATCTCTCCAGCAGTTCATCCTTCCCTCTCTCCACACGTCAGTTTTTATCATTCAAGGTGAATAAACTGTGATTCTGACGGCAGAATAGGAAAAAAGTCTCAAAAGATTTGAAAATAAATCTCCGGAGTGTCGAGGCCTTGGCACCGTCGAGCTCGATTAATCACCGCTGACATGACAGGTAGACTAATACTTGGCACAGGAGCGACAGGGAGGGAGGCCACGGCTCATTCACCTGCATTGTCCACTTCTTTACCGTTCTGCTGAAAAACAAAGTGCCCACACCGGAGACCCTGAATACAGATGAGCTCCATCCATCACCTCAACAAACAGCAGCGAACAGGAGGTCCCGCACTTCAGAGCTCTATAAGCCACACAAACCCCGAGTTCAGTGCTTCTGAGATCAAGCCGAGCAGAATTCTTTCTCCATTCAGAGCACATCGCAGGAGGCAGGATAATGAGGCTCCAGCGATGGTTGTTTTTACTCCTGAGCACTAAAAATCATCCTCGAGCAGAAAACACAACCGCAACCTCCAGGTTCTGACCCAAAGAGGTGCAAACTGCTCCTTAGGATGGCGGAGGGGATATAAAGATGGGGTTGTGGGTGATTGTAACTGGATGCAGCCCAACGGGGCGTCTTAACGAGCTGATTCCAGCTTCTGAGTTCGAGCCGCAATAGGCAGGAGTCTAATAAAAGAAAAGAATGGTATTAAATCACAGCATGAGTCTGTGCGGAGAGCAAACGCACCATATCTGAGACGACCTGTTTTAAATTTATATCTGCTCACCCCGTCTCATTTCATCTGCCTCATACAAATACAGAAAAGTTTTCCTGAATTAGGGCAGCGACTAATGAGCTTTTACTGATAATCATGGAATCACGGAAAATGTTGACAAATGCTGTGAAATCTATCGTCAAAACCCAAACATATTCGACATGCAACAAAAATAATGAAGATAAAAAAAGAACTCAGGATTTATGGAGCCCAGAAAGGTCACAATGACGCATTACTTACAATATCTCCATCCATCCATCATCTACACCGCTTATTATTTCGAGGGTCTGAAGCCAAAGTTCAACACACAGAGCAAAACAACCATTCACTCTCACATTCACTCAGAAGCACCACGGAGCAAACCAACGCCAACCCCACACAGAAAGACCCAAACTGGGATTACTATGAAAATTAAGTGAAATAAAGAAAAAGCCTCGGTGGAGGCAGCTGCTCTCTGGTTGTATCACTGTGTTCATGTGCTGTGCAGCGTTTTGTCTTTTATGTCGTTTTTGACTTTGTTATTTCGACTTTATCGCCCATATGGCTCAAAAACATCTGGTCAGAGAACGGCGGTTGAAAAGGAGCCAGCTGGCTAACACTGGTACATTAACTGGAATGACTTGAATGAGATGAATCTGTCGTCTCGCTCACTTACTATCAATTATCTAGCTGTTGATCTACTGATCCATTTATGAACCAAATGTTTCAGCAGCGCAAGATGACACAAATCTGAATATCAGCAAATGTACTAATGTGATGTTATAAACCTGACAAACAGGTTCAACCTTATCACACGTCAACCTAAAAGAGGCACTAACCCACCAATGACAGTTTATAGGTTCTTATTTCTACTCTCTGTCTTTCTGGATTTATATTCCGGCCGTGACAGATTGAACAAGCTGATTAAAACTGCTGAATAATTCAACAGGAGCCAGTATCTGTTCTAAAGCTGCCTGTGGCCCGACTTGTTAATTGATTAATTGAAATGCAGAGCAGAGTGCTGTGCTAACTAATACCCTGAAGGTAAGGACACGTCTGCAGCTCCCCTCTCCTGCTTTACTGAGCATTACTTTGACACACATTAATAGCACAGGATGAGGGAATCCGGTCGGGCTTCAGAGCAGCATATGGCACAGACAGTACAGACACACTGCAAGTTTGAAAACTTCATTCAGTCATTAATGCAGCTTATTCTGGTTCATTCTGTATGAAGTCACAGGGAATGAATGATTTTACATCACTTGAGAAAATATTCAAAGAACTGTTGGAGTTAGAAATGGATGGATGGATGGATTTTACTTGTGTTGGACTTTTCTGTCTCTGGATGGATAGATGGGTGTTTATTGGTCCCAATCCTTATTAATCTGAATTTGTATAGTTGGGCTGAATTGTATCTAAAATAATAATGAATTGATAGCAGTCCAATCAAACGTTAATCTGCCCAACAACTATAATGAGCGTCCAATTTAAAATGAAATTTAAAACACTTGTTATTTTCCTGCAGAAACAT